GGATATTCACTTGGGGCTCTGCACAAAAAAAATAGCAAGGGGAAGATTATGGTTGCAGCCCCTACAGTTGCGTTTGCTAACACGGTGTGGACAGCTGGGAGGCTTACGGGACCCATGTCAAAGAATGAACACAGTAGGGCCAAAGGCTGAGACTGGGTGGTGCTTCATTCCCAGAACAGTAATTTCAAATAGAGGAAAATTGAGGGCTTCACAGAAGCCCTCTTCTCTTGGACTAAAATGTGTGAGAAACTGCAGATAAGCCATCTGTTCATAAAGTGACAACACTGGGGTCTGCCTAATCTCTTCCCTCACAGCCAAGTCTATTTGGGCTATTCTGCAGCACAGCCCAAGCATCTCTGCCACCTGCACTGGTAAGTTCCCCCATGGATGGTCCCATATTGTCTTGGTTATGGTCAACCTGCATGTGCATAAATGTAGCTGACCCATCATCTAATGCCACCAAAGATAAAGCTGTAGTAACATCAGTGAAGCTTTGATCTGGCTGTTGGAAAGAACTTCTATCTCCTGAAGAGGTTCTGGGAAGAAGACTGCCAATTTGGATGGATGTTAGGGAGCTAGAAGTCATTATGAAGAGATTATTGCGATAGAAGGATTTTCATCTTGATCTAATACGTTTTCACTCTTAAATTATGTTGTTCCCTAAGATGAGCAGCAGCGCTGAAAGATGGCTTTACCTTAGCTCCTGTCAGAGCAGAGATTAGTAAGCATGCACTTCCTACTTCATGTCATCAGATTTCTGGCATCCCAGCATTTGCCCTTATGAGTCGTGTGCCTACTCTGGCAGTAAGTAAAAGCTTTTAAAATGGTGAAAAGGAAGATTTGGGTCACTTTCACTGTTCATCCCTTACTCTGGTATCATAACTACTGTTGGCCAGCATCGGCATCAAGAAGATAAGCTCTCCGTTTCTCTCGGGAACCCAAGTCCCAGAAATAATTACACCATTTTCAAAATCTTCTAAGATTTGTGTAATTTTTTTTTAATGACACCTTTTGGACTGTACAAGTGGCTTGCGGCTTCTGAACTGCTGGATGCATGCTAGGAAGCCTACCCCTGCAATTAAACTAATTGGAAAACAAGGTCTCCTCCTCAACATCTCTTTTTAGACACCAGCTGATGTTACTAATTCTGTGTGGATAGGTCCTAACCTGCTAGCAAATACGCAGTAATGTGAGATTTGTGGTGTAGCTTAAGGGGCAATAACATCTCCTGTTCTAAAACAAGCTGTATGTCATAGATTCATAGAATCATAGAATCATAACCTTATGGGGACAGGCTGAGATGCCTGGTCTCAGAAGAGAAGGCTCCAACGAGACCTTATAGCAGCCTTCCAGTACCTGAAGGGGGTCCACAGGAAAACAGGGGAGGGATTTTTTGTATGGGCATGTAGTGACAGGATGAGGGGAAATTGCTCTAAATTGGAAAAGTGTATATTTAGACTAGATATTAGGAAGAAACCCTTTACTGTAAGGGCAGTGAGACACTGGAACAGGTTGCTCAGCAAAGCTGTGGATGTCCCTTCCTTGGAGGTATTCAAGAGCAGCCTGGTCTAGTGGGAGATGTCCCTGCCTATAGGGGGAAACATGGAGTCATGTAGAATCACAGAATGATTTGAGTTGAAAGGGACATTAAAGCTCCCCCAGTCCCAATCCTCCTGCCCTGGGCTGATTGCCAACCACCAGCTCAGGCTGCCCCATCCAATCTGGCCTTGAGCATCTCTAGGGACAGAACATCCATAGCTTCTCTGGGCAGCCTGTACCATCACTTCACAGCTCTCTGAATGAAAAATTTCTTCCTAATATCTTACCTAAATTTCCTCTTCTTTGGTTTAAAGCCTTTCCTCTTGGTCCTCTCCTTATCAGAACATGTGAAAAAAAAATAAAGTTGCTCTCTCTCCTGCTTGTAAACTCCCTTCAAGTACTGGAAGGCCACAATGAGGTCTCCTTTTGTTACACATGGGAGAGATGTTTCCATTGCTCCAATCACCAGGGCTTTTGCCTGACGGACACAACTTTTCAGATGAGTATAAGATTGCGAATAACTCAGCATATAAATAAGAATAGGACAAGAAGCTTCGTTATAATACACTGTTTTAAAACCAGAGTCCATTTTTATTTCTTTCTTTATTAGGGAACTGTGGTGTTGGTCTGGAGCAGTTGTTTCTCAAGTGAAAGGAGGACCAGTACAACCAAGAAGTAGGCTTACATTCTCTTTGTTTGCTGCTATTTTCTTATGCTTACAAAGACTTACAATGTTCAAAGCTGAAAAGTAGCAATGAAAATTTCCTAAATGCCTTCAGAAAACCAAGAACTCAACCACTGCTATTAGAAACATGAGTTCCTGAAACTGGACAGCACTGCTTGGATTTCCTTTGAAAAAAAAAGAAGGAAAAAAAAAGGCCAAATGCCTGAAGTGTGTAAGAAGGAGCCTGTACAGGAGTTAAAGGGAAGCTGCATAGGAAGCAAAGCAGAGCCCAAAATAAAAAGCGGGAATAGAAAACTAAAAATAACAAACAGGAAAGTGTGACACAGCTGCAAGGGCTCTTGTCCATTCTCCCTCAGCATTGTACCTTTTTTTCAGGAACATACTAATATTGTGTTTGGATTTCAATGGCATTCCAATCTATTATTTGTTCTTCAAAAATAGATGTTTCTCTTGTGAAGAGGAAAGATTTTTTCAAGTAATGTTCATATGATTTCAGTTGTCCTAATTTATCAAATAATGCTTTTGTGACCCGGTGCTTGCAAAGAGTGGGAGGACTGTGCAAATTACTTTGATTCAAGAAAAACTCAACTCAACCTCCTTAGGACAGTGCAAGCCATACAGTACGTAATTAACTGTTGCTCTTATTTTCAGGTGAGTATTTATGTGATGGTTTTAAAAGTAAGAAAGGATCTAGCACACAAGTGGGAGTTGCGGCTGCTCTGGGAGGGGATCAGGGAGGATCAGGACAGTGTACTAAGGAAATCTCTGTCTTATTCCTCATCCAAACATGAGTTTGTTTGTTTACACAGAGCATCTTGCCTGCCCTACAAGTGCACAAAGTGCTTAAGAGAGAGGGAGCAATGTTTCAGCTTTCACAGTTTTTGCTTTATTAATGTTTATTTAATTGTTATGCTCATTCATTCTGCAAAAACTAAACCATGCATCTAGATTTTGCATCATCACTGGCTGCACAGAACACAGATACAAAAATGACTCTGTTTGAATGGTGTTAGTGCCTATTCTGGGAGAGCAAGAAAGACAGAACATGCCATTTTGTCAGCCTAAGTGTAGTCCGGGACAGTCACAAACCCCAAAGGAAACCACATTAGACCCGCCCAAAGGGGGATCATGGTGCCTGTCAAGTTATCAGTTCCAACTTGTAAAATTCCTATTTTCAATAGACACAACAAAAACAGGAAATATTTACCAACTCTGCAGGTGTCAGGAAATACCTTCAAACCACTGCTGTGGCTTGACAGTGCAGTTAAATATCAAGCTTATAGAAAGATGACAATAAATATATTTTCATTTAAAACATACTTCAGTGTGTTTGTTCTAATACATGCATCTCAGCAGATCACAGAAGCAAATTTGTACTGTTAATTACACCCTGGTGATTAGACAGTGATTTGTGCCACAACACTTATGTGAATGTATTTGTACAAGGAAACAACAGGGAAGTACACTGAAGATGTTTTGTGCAGTTGAAACTGATACAACTGCTTGTCATTAACAGTTAGTCTACGCTGGGAATATATTTTTTTTATTATTTGAATGGTGGATGGAATATATCTGAATATATCTGAGTCTTCTATATTCCTCAGTGTATTTCAAATGTCATACTAAAGCATATGACAATATATTGTTTGTACTGTTATGGTGTCTGCAACATCCTATAATGTAACATAATAGAAACTATTACACTGTGCTGCGATGTAGTCCTTGCCACTGGATCTGCACATCAAATATAAAGTAAGACATACTGTGTATGTTTCCAGTTTACTCTTTAATAGTCGGGAAAATATGTTGGGAAAATTACTTGAAATGAGATCCATTTTCCAAACATACTCTTACTGGAAATAATATAAGGCCCCACTAAAACCGAATCTATAATCTATGTGACCCAAGAACACTGATTATCCGAGAGAAGAACATCTGTATCTAAATTCAGGTTTGTGATGGATAGAAAGGTCATCTGAAAAAGAGTGAAACATGCAGAGTTAGGTAAAGAAAAGAAAAGAAATCTATGTAATTCCACACTTGCAAATATCAGGGAGGAGACCTAGGGTGTGCAGTGTGAAGCAAAAACAGATGTGAGAGGAGAGGTTAGAAAATAGAGAGGAAGGTTAAGAGCCTTTGTTCCCTTAATAACCCTTTCATCATTTGCATTATTTCCTTTACCAGTGTAATCCCACTGCCACTAGTAGCAATAGATAGAAGTTTGAAAGGATGATGAATGACTTTTCTTCCATCATAATCTCATGTTGGAACCTACTCTGTGTGGAGCAGTCTACCGCTGGGGTAACTGGGGAAATGCAAAAGCATTTTGTAAATTGGATGGAAAACAGAAGAAAGCATACAAAAACAGTTTGCGTATGTCCCACTCCTTCTCCATTCATCTTTTATTTGCCATAAATGAATCCACAGGCTATAACTATTTGACAAATCAAATTCCTGGCCATTGAGAGGTTCCCAAACATGTTCTGTTCTGTGCTCAGGGGTAAGCCAGGGAGGGACTTCCCCTGGCAGGCAACCTGGGCCCAGCCACCTCTTCGTGAAGTTGAAGATGGTGGGAAGGCAAAGACACAAGCCACTTGGGCGCAAAGTCACTCTGGAAACAAGCCATTCCCTTAGCTCTTGGCTTCAGCAAAGAAAATTCACCAAGTAGATGCAGACATTGTGAAATCATTTGGGAAGAAAACTGTGCCTAGTCTGCATGCCTAGAGGCTGTGCAATCACCAGCAGAACTGTCGTTAATGGATAAACACAACAGCAATGCTTTCAGACGTTTTTTATTGAACAATAGTTAACACATCCTTTTAAAAATCAACCAGCTTATTAGATTTACATTCAAGAACATCATTTATGACACTTGTAAAACAACAATAATGTATGCAAATATTTACTACATTCTTTAAATAATGCAATTCAGTCTGCTGAAAGAGCGTGGATTGGATTCTGCTCTCACTGAAAGTGTCAGAAGATTGCTTTTGATATCAATAGATGAGTATCAATATGTTTTCCTATAAATATCCCAAGACAGAATTTCTCCCTCTCAGTCCTAGACATTCATTACAAGTTAAAATGTGGTATCTGCTAGTTTGAGATTTATGCTTTCTAGATTATCATGGACCCATGCTGCCATATTGATATTTGAAGTCCAGACTTCAAACAGCAGACATTGTCCTTTTGCTCTGACACGGTGTGACTCAGTGTTTCCCTCTCAGGTAAGCAACCTGCTTTCACTGAAGCTGCCTTTGGATCAAGGTCTGGACTTCTTAAAGGCTCCAGAGTTTCTCTTGGTTGTAGTTACAAGGTAAATTTTCAGATCCTGCACAAAACCTTGGCAGTGGTACTCTGTGCTCCTTGTTTTACTGAAGTCACTGTCAGAGCTCACATTGCTTTCAAAGTGAACATGCAATTCAATTCAAAGTGCATTTCCAATGAGAGTTTTCTGTCTAATGAGGCAGTTCTGAACTTATGCAGCACAGGTTCGTTCTGTTACGCTACATTCACTTCCTTTATCTGAAAATCCAGTCATTTCCAAACATACCAGAAAACCTATCCCTGTGTGGCATTTTGTGTTACAAATATAATCCAGTTGGGCTTGAATGATGGATGCTGCCAAGTTCCCGAAACACGCTGAAGTATATAAATTATACTGACTAAAATGGGGATGCTTGCTCATGCACATAAGAAACGGATGGCTTGACACCAAAGCATCACAGAATCCCTGAATGGCTGAGGCTGGAAGGGACCTCTGGAGGTCACCTGGACCAACCCCTGCTCCAGTAGGGTCACCTGGAACTCTGTGAGCTTGGCTGCCCTGTCACTTAACTGAGAGTCCGAGTTTTCCATTCATTTGATTAGATGAGTTCCAGCAGAGTGACAGCTGAGCAACAGTCCATGATGAGGATGGAGAGGATGAAGGTCCATTTGCAGTCCTCTGACCCAATAAATGGAGGCATTGCTCTAACGGCACCAAAACAGCTGCTTTATAGAAGCATACACATTTAAATAATGCTAAGCAACTTCTTTCTTTTCTGATCCTTCTCTATATATCAGTATAATTTACTAAGCATGCTTTTCTTTCCACAGAATTTAATTTCAGAAGTCCTGCTTAATATGGGATATGCCTGCAGTATTTCAGCAAAGTTCTTCAATATAAATTCAAATGTGTTTTCTCCCTGAAGAAAGGTGTGTTTACATCCAAGCAATTGTCACCAAACTTCCAAAAAGCAGAAAATGACCAGTGACTAACACTGGTTTATTTAATTCGCACCACTGAGCTCTTATGTTGTTGTTGTTTTGCTGGTGTGACTCAGGGGCATTGCTTTCTATCCTGGGATTTGTTGACATCCCTTTTTATTGCCTTGGCTCCATACCCATGGTTTCATTCACCCAAACTGTCAACAGAATTCAGTGAGAGCTTTCCTGGACTGAGGCTGCAAAAGTGGGCTTATGATATTATTTAAATGACTTGTGCTCTTTTTTCAATATTACTATACATTCAGAGATCCCCAATGTTTCTTTCTCCAAATACTTATCAAAACAAATACCAAAAATCATATACACTGTACAGTCTATTTTTAAGTAAACATTTTTCTCATGACAAACAGAATCACAATTGGCCTGTAGAGGTTACATTTTCATACGCTATAGATTTACTTCGTTCTTAAAGTGTGTTGTTGCATATTCAATGATCTGTGAGAAATGCATTCTTTATGAAGTCTTATTAGCCCAAGTAAATATCAGCGAGGATTTAGCCACTTCATCACGGGGGTGCGAATTGCTTTCTCCTTAACAAATTCCTCTTTTACAGAATTGCCATCCCCTGATGCCATGTCGTTATCTGAAAATATAATAATAAAGTAGATTTCATGGGAATGAGATGGTTAGAATAATTTCCTACAGCAATGTCTCTGGTTTTAGGAACATTTCAGAAAAGTCTCAGCTGACAATAATTTTTGCAGGAATTCACCTGATTTTCGCCAGTTATCTGGTTGCAGAATTTCTGCCAGATTATGGAATAAGACAGATGTGCCTCCTAATAGTCTAAGCAAAAAGCAGGTGATATGAGTTTGGTTTTCTTACTGTAATGCTCAGAAATGACATGGAACCAGCCGCATGTTCTCAAAGGGCTGAAGCTGCAGCTATGCTCAGACAGAGGCCAGCTGGCATGCTGTTGCCTAATGTATGCCATTAGGCTCTCTTACAGAAAAAAAAAAAAAAAAAAAAGGTAAAATATATCCAGTTTGTCTACTGGAAGTGGTTCCTGGCTCACACTGATTCCTGAGCTGCGACTGAGGTTGCTTGGCAGGGATTGCTGGCCCAGGGCAATGTGTGGCAGCCACTGCCCTACTGTTTGATGAGGAAGGCGACCACGCAAATACACAGAAACATGCTCTGGAAGACTTAAAGTCCTGAGGGTAAATGTAGGCATAATGCCTTCATGGCCAGAAATACCCAATTAACATACAGAAGTATCCACAGCTGTTTTAATTAACCGAGGATCTGCTCTGAATTATATAGCCACCTCTGAATACCAGTGTTAAATGAAACCTTGCGTGATCATCCTATGAGGCACTATGCATAGAGCACCTGGTCTACATCCATCCCACATTTGAGGAATATATGTTGGTGTAACATTTGCATGGGTAAAAAAGTCCCACTTGTTTCCATGGTGTAAGAATTTCATCCTGGCTGGGATAAAACAATATGCACTGAGGGTGTGGAAGTTTTGGGACAAAAGTGAGGGGAAAGTTCTTGAGGCATCAATTCAAAAAAACGTCTGGAATATAACATAAGTATAGTATCTGAAATGCATCTGATAAATAAAGTAAGTAGAAAGCAAGGAATATTTTCTTAATGATATTTTAGCCCCCTTTAATCATTTAAATTTAGTCATTTAAAAAACCAAATCAAAACAAACAAACAAACAAAAAAAACACCTGGAAAGGTGAAGGAACAAAATCATAAAGGAAAATCAGAAAGGATCAGGACTGATCCATCTTGCAAGGTGTTTTGAACAATCACTTTTGTCATGGTTTTGTGATTTCTGGCTTTCAGTATTCCACATCATAACATCATGTGGGGCACCAGGACTTTAACTGTTAATGCTCAAGTCCTGGGTACCTGCCCTGAAGAGAAGAAGAACTACATTCCCCAGGGGACTTTGCAGTCAGGGAGAGGAGGTTTAACTCCTGGCAAGGTCACTTGAGTTCTCTCTTTCTCGCCTGCCCTTCGTCGTGGGCGCTGCTCCCATCTCCCTGCTGCTCAACTGGACTGCGCATCTCACCTCAGCGTTGTGGTGAGGCCTTTCCACCTTTCAGACATTTTGTCTCTCTCATTATATTTGATTTATTAGCTTCAGTTCTGATTATATTGTATTATAGTGTGTTATCTTGCATTCCGATAATATACTTAGTAAATTAGTTTGTTTCTCCACAGATCAGTGCCGCTGTTTTAATTATTTTGGGGTCTCCTGTTTCCTTTGTTCCGGAGGCGCGGATCTGCAGATCCCTCCGCCCCGCTCATCATGGAACCGGGCCGAACCAGCCCGTAAACCGTTGACAACTTTAAACAAAGTACAAGTGTAAGGCAGTTTGTTTCTGTCTGAGCTTTTCTAAACAGTGGAAGAAACATAACAGGTATCAATGCTAAAAGATCTGGATAGCTAAAAATAGCAAGAGAAAAATCAAAACTAGGCAAGAAAACTGTTGTTTAAGGAGAAATAAAATTCAAAGCATTTGGAGTAAAATCCCAGAGAAGCCTCTGGTAAGTCTAGAATTAAATCCCTAGTATTCATTTAAAATCTTCGCATTTGTATTCATTTTGACTGGTACTTGTATTTAAGGCTAGTGTTGTTTGGTTAGGTATACCTCAAGAAAATAAACCAAATGGAAAGAAAAGTTAATCCCAGCTTTGAAAAATTCAGTGTTCACTTCCTCCCTCCTCAAACATTTCAATTTTCCATATGTTCCCCTTTGTTTGTTTGTTTGCTTGTTTTTTAAATAAGTCTGAGAAGATCTGCTACAGGTTTCAGACACAATCCTAAACATTAGAACTTATTCCAAAAGTATTGCGATTAGCAACTAAACTGAAGCACTTCATTAAACGGATCACTGACAACTGAATATGTAGAATGCTCTGTTTTCAAGGGAAAAAATATGTTATTTTTACCTATATTAGCTGACAGTGGCAATGTTAATATAACGAAATCCTGTTTTGACTTCATATGAGCTGGTTGATACAAGTCCTCACACATCCTCCCATTGCACAGGTGACACTGCAGTCTTAGTGCACTCAACAGCTGCAAAGAATTTCTCAAATGTTGTGATTTCTGAATGTTTTTACTGTGTGTTACTGCTCACCTAACTCCTTGCCTTATGCTAAGGGAGCTGCCAATCAGAGGAAGCCTTGCGCTGTTAGCTCTTTGCTCAGCTTCACCAAAGCTCACACAGAGCTCACATCGCGTGCCAGTAGATCATGTACAAGGAGATTACTAGAACCAGCTGCCCCAGGAAGTCTTACCTGTGTGAGAAATTATTTTTCGTCGATTTGGAGGCTTTGAAGCAGACAGTTGAAAAAATGGGAACTTCAAACACTTCCCAGTGACTCTGTCACAGATGCCAGACGGACAGTTGCAAGTTTTCCTGCACTCCATGCCATAGGTACCGTAGGGACACTCTGAAAAAAAGCAATATAGCAAAGTATTCCTCAGTGATCGAGGTCAGCTACCAGTGCCCTCAATGGCTGCCTCGGCTTTGTCCTTAGAAGTAGAAAACCTTTTAGTGGCATCCAGCCAAGCCTTAATGAAAACATTTTGGGATGTTGATTATTTGATATAAGTATTTTCAAGTTCTAATAATCGCAGATTTTCCTTTCCACGCATCATACACATTATATGCATCATTCCTTTTCCTGCAGCTTGTTTACAGTGTGCTACTCTTCACCGAAACTCTTGTAGTTCTAAAATGCAAATAGAAGGCAATATGAACACATGAATATGCAGTCATCGAGGCTGTCGTTAGAGGTTAAACACTGCATTTAGAGAAGAAGAATACTTCAGAAAGCTTCTGAGCTCACTGTTTGGGCACAAGATCACCTGGTCTGGAGGAGGCGCAGACTCGGTGCTGCCCACGCTGGGGTGCAGAAGGTGCCCCGCAGGCGCCCCGCGCGACCCTAGGGAGCTCTCCAGGGTGGCAGTGCATCCTCGCATCCCCAGACATGGGGAGCGCTCCTGCAAATGTCCCAGCACACGTGCAAAGAGTTCTCAGAGAGTGAAGCGCTGCCTGCATATGACAGACAGCAACACGGTGCAGAGGATTTGCCCCATCCCAGGGTGGATTGCATGACAGGGCATTGTATGATGTGACTTTGCTACAACGCGTATTTTCCCAGAGTTGTGAGACGCGGTGTCACAGCCCTTGTCATCCTCTGTGTTGCTGTTCGTATCTTTGCAGGACCAGAAGTTAAGAGATAACAACACAGAAATTCCAGCATGAACATGCCCTCTCCAGACACCCCCACAAGAAGTCAACCCAGGGAACACATGGAGTGTGCCAGAAGAAAGGTCTGTATTTCAGATGATCCTTTCCATCCCAGGGCCACCCTAAATGATGAGTCCCAGAGTATTTCCCACTCTAGCCCTTGGAGCACATTAATCCCTCACTGGACCAAGGACACAGGTAGCCCAGACTCCCACAGAACCCTCCGGAAGGGCAACGGCCACTTTACGCACTTATAATACCTTTTCCTGTCATGTTCTTCTGTTCTCCCTTATTTTGAGCACTAGGACCTTCCAAGCCAGACCTGGTTTCTGTACATTTACCATTCCACAACAGGCTTACTGTTCTCTGTCCAATCTCTTGAACCAATGCAAAGATTTAATTTTTCTATACATCCTGGTGTATCTGAAAAGTCAGGATAATGCCCCAAAATGAAGCCAACATTTTACTATTCTCTTTGTACCCACTGGGCACTTTTCCATTAAGGAAAAGCACTGAAAATCCAACCAGTTCCCTGCTGAGCATTCCCTGCTGAGCATCACACAGTGAATCATCGCAGCTTGGAGAACCTCACCAAGTGTTCATATGCCTCCTTTCACACACAGTCTTTGATTTGCTGTTTGTGCACATAAAGCAAAACCCAAACCTTGTCACAAGTAAACAGTTTGCGTATGCACAGTCCTCCCTAAAGAACAAGCAGGGCTGACAGCACACACCCCATGAAGCCTTAATCTGTATGTTGTGAGTGCTCAGTTACTCCGCACAGAAAGCTGGGACACAAAGGCAATGGAAATAAACCCAAATCCAAAGAACTATGTAATGACCCTGGCATCGATGGTGCTCTTAAGGCCTGACCAAAATGGGAAATTTTAGCCAATTTTGCAGTTTGTAAGTAATATTCAACAGGGACCTGCTCCTACATAAATTACCAGATAGGTTGCAACGATTTAAGGGAAGCAAGAGTAGATTCTCTCTGTGACAGAAATGTATCTTACCAATGAAAGTGCGGAACACCAGTCTTCATAGACTGTTTTGAACAATAATGACATTGCTGCTAATAAAAATATGGAAACCCTTAAAGCATTTTTTAGATAAGAACCACGAAGAACATGAATTTATACTCAGAAAGCTGCTCTGAAACACGCTGTGCATGTTCTAGCCATTCCAGAATTCACATACTGAAGAACAGTTTTGTCCACTACCTAAAAATAAATTGGTTGCATGATATTAGAGAGAATCCAGCCTCCCCGACTCCAGGAATTACTGCAAACACAAAAGTTATTGAAATTAGTAGGTAATCTGCTAAAATAGCTATAAATGGATACCTAAGTTAAGAATACTTGTCCCCACACTTAGTCTGATGGCATTCACATAAGTACAGAAGGAGATTGTGCCGTCTCTGAGCAGAGATGAAAAAAGGAAATTAGAAATGAGCCCCGTAATAATAAGTGCAAATCTACCTGTGGGCAATACAAGTCTTAAATACTGATTTACAACTTCAGCTTGTTATGCATTTATTGAGAGTATTTTCTTTGGTTTCTTGGGAAAAAAAAATGGTTTTACTCTGTATTTTCAACAGTGCTTCCAAAAATCATCTTCAGAAATTGAGATCTCATCTCCCTCAGCATTTCTTTTTCCACTTTTAACTGTGCCATTGAAAGACATTCATTAGAGATAGTGAAAAATAAAGAATAGTTCAAATAACTGTTAAAATGATTAGAGATGGTACCATGCACTACAATAATTTTAGTAAAATGAAGATCAGACATCTATCTCATGAAAGTCATTTTGGTGGGTGCACCAAAGACACGATCCTTACGTGTAAATTCTATCCCTTAGAAACAAAATGAGGGTTTTGAATTTCACCCTCTAACATGCACATGAATTCACCTTCACATCCCAACATAAGTAAATGCATGCTTTGTGTAAGTCAGTCTGAATAATTTTTGCAGTGCCTGGTCCTCACTCATGCCTTTCACTACGACTATTAATACTCCTAACATTTAACTGCCAAGATGCCTCTGTGTTTAAGGAAGTTATTCAGAGGCATATCTGTATCTACTCACTGAAGTGGTGTGCAGGAAAACATACTGCTTTCATGCTTTGTAAAGCATTATTGTTAATGGTTTATTTTAAAAGCTTTCCCCAACCTCTCAGTAACCTAATTCCTTTTCTCCTTTAGAAGATTCTCGTTTTTGCATGGAGCAGTGATGCTCTTAGCTGGAATGTGCTGAGCTGAGGGTAGATGCAGCCTACCTGGCAGCAGCTGCAAGCAGAGGCAGCCCGCACCCTCCTGCTCCCCATCTCCTGCCACAGGGCTCTGCCTCACAGGCACCTCACAGGCAGGAATGAATAAGACACAGCGTCCTTCAGCAAGGCTGGACACGCAGGATTAAGGTCTTTGCGTGCTACACAGAGCCACCATGCAGCTCAGCAGAGGGGTCAGGACAGCTCCTGAGTCTCCAAAGTCTCAACCACAAATCTTATTATCCCTGCACACAACCTATCTGTGCTTTCCCACAGATGTCCCTGATCCTAAACAACACTCTCCCATCAGTAAGCCTGGCCCTCCTACATGTAACACCTTTTGATAAAGGCAGGTATTTCCGACTTTCCTCTCAGGTAACAGCTGAGCTGGAAAAACCTCTTTTCAGACCTTGCAAGCAGGAGGCTACACGTAGGCTGCTGTCAAATCACCGCAGTGGGTGCATGCAGTGTGATGGTCTTTACCTTTGCAGATACCGAATTCATCACCAAAATCATCCTCCTCAGTGTAAAACTGGCACTTCAGCCCCGGGCCGCACTTGACACCGTCCATGCCCGAGACCGTGCGATAGCACGTCTCGCCCAGCACTGCCGCGCACACCCGGCAGCAGCCGCAGTCGTCCAGCACCGTCCGCTTACAGCGCAAGGTGCTTTTGCACGCATTACTGTCACAGGGCTCGGGGCAATCGACCGCGTATTTCGCACTCCAAGCAGCTCCAGCGTGTGCAGGCATTAGGAGGAGTGTGAGCAAAAGGAAGCCCTTCATGTCTCGCAGGGGTCAACGCTCGGTCCCAGGGAGCAGATTGCGGTGTTCAGCCCGGCGCCTGGTGCGGAGGGAAGCAGCGGTACAGAATCCAAAGCAGTAGCTGCACACATCAGCCTACAAGTTTATGAGCTTTATACAGCGTGTTGCCCACATGCTGCACCGTCGTCAGCTTCCTCAATCCGGCAGCGCTGCTCCTGCCAGCCTCCCTTGTTTCAGTTTATGAAATCCAGGATGAAGGTTGGATTAGCACTCTACTGCCATCCAGGAATTGAAAAGCCTGAGCTGATGTAATCTGTTATGTTTAGTTAGTTGTTTTGCATGAGGGCTGAAAACTCTCACATCCGTCTCAAATGCTCAAGGACGACTGCCAAAAGGAAAAAAAAAAAAAGAAAAAAAGAAAAAAAAAAAAAAACAAAAAAAAAACTACACACACACACACACACACACACACACAAAAAAAAAAAAAAAAAAAAAAAAAAAAAAAAAGGAAAAAAAAGAAACAAGAAGGATGTATACCTTCCTTCGGGCCAGCAGCTGCTGGCAGCACCGTTCTGCCCCGAGCACACAGGGAGCCAGGGAGAGTGCACTGGCTGTCTTACGTCCATGGTGATACAGTGATTTTGGACAGAAAAATCTGCACTCTGCCTTTGAGGGGAGGTGGACAGTTGCTGAAAAGTGCAAAATGAGATCATGACAGTTAGGGTCTGAGCTCAGATATTTCAGTGATGTTTTTCCTGCCTGCTTGAAATAGTACTTTCTATTTGGTATTTAAGTGGAGTTGAACTAAACATCTTACTCAGAGGGTATTGCTAGAATAAGACCAGAATGAAAACAGCATTTTTTGGGCTGTTCTGCAGGAAACTGTGGAAAATGAGATGCCCCTAGCCTCACAGACCAAGAAGAAACCTCCATCCTCTGCCAGCATCAGTCCGCAGCCCCAGCACAGATCAGAGGGACAGATCCGTCCCTCTCTATGCCACCTCCAGTGACAAAGATCTGTGGGACACCCTGGTGATGTTCCTGAGTGAAACCAGTGTGAATAAACAGAAAATAAGCCTGAGTTTTTCCCCCATCCCTCTTAGACTCCATTCTCAGTGCCAAAGCCTTGACAAGAAACAGCAAATAAGCTAGGAGTTCAGTGAGACAGATGAGCCACCAGAGAGATGGAAATTTCTGCTCCAGAGAAATAAAGATCTGCAGGAGAGGAAAAACGGAATAAGCCTAATCATAAATAAATCCGAGAACAGCAAAAGTTGCTGCCACTGAAGTTAGTGGGAATGGAGTCAACATAAACTTGTATGTGACCAGCACACCATTTGGGAATCCTGAATCTCGCATGGGCTGGGGATGCTGCCAGGAGTTTGCCAAATAGAAGAGAGGTCTGGAAATATGCTGGAAATACAAGCAATCAGGACAGTCTTCTCTTTATGAATGCAAATGTTCACTGACAAGTCCAAAACAAAATGCTTAGCTCTGCTTTCCTATGGAGAGAAATCAAAAAACAGCACATTTTATGTTGCATTTGAGAGGATTTTCTCCTGGTCTACAGGGTTATAAAAGCCAGGATGGGATGGGATAGAGTAGGGTAGGGTAGGGTAGGGTAGGGTAGGGTAGGGTAGGGTA